GCAGATGAACTGAGGAAGAGGACGAGTGGTGCTGCTGGGGCAATGTTGGTGTTCAGCGGGTGAGTCTTCTTATGGGATATATCGTGCCTCCTTCCTATGCTCAATCTACTTTTCTTCTGTCGTCTTCCAGCTACGACCTCCTTCCACTTTCCCCGTTCTGGGTCCCATCTACCATTGAGGAACTGGAGGATTTGGGTACGACGGCCGACAGGGTGAACCAAGCCAAAGTTTACATGGACAGTGTCAGAGAACGGAAAGGAATGTTTGTTGATAGAAAGTTGACAATGGAGCCGGAAAAGCAGAGGACGTTGAAGAAGTAAATTTCTTAATGAGTGTCCTGAATCATTTTGATGATTTGTATGTACGTTGAGATGTCTATTACCTTGCTTGCAATAGTCCAAGTCACTTACATAAATCTTTGAATTCGCTGCAGGAAGGTTTCGAGACGAAATCGACGATTGTCTGCAAAAAATCACGTGCGTTAAGAGACGAAGGATCGTCTGTAACGTTTGCGACGCTGGGAATGCCTTTATGGCAGATTAATTGATCTGCCATAGCTTTTGCGTCTCGTGTGATACTGTCATAAACTCTTTGTGCAGGTCAACCTGTTTGTTATGGATCATGTTTTCCTCTGATTTGTTAGGTATATATATTCATGTGTGTATGGCCATTGATAGAGAAAAAAACTCAAAGTATCGTTGAAAATAGAAGTTTGAAGTGACATACTTGTTTGCAATTCTACTGAGATAACCATTCGCCGTCGTACTCTATCCAACCTTCCTTCTCTTTCCTTGCCTCCCACCAGCCATAGCTTCTGCCTCTCTTTTTGCTTTCATCCCCACACTTCTCATGACACTCTTCTTCCTTTCCTTCTCCTTCTCTTCCCCAGCCTTTTCTTTCCCTCCTTCTCTTTTCTCCTTCTCCTCCCTTTTCCCGGACTTCTTCTCCCTCCTCCTCTTCACCTGATCTTTCCTCAGTGCACGGATCTGTTGCAAGAGAGCCACAGCACGTTTCTCTTCCGGCTCAAGGACCACCGCGCGTTTTTGGAGGTATGTTTGGCTGCTTTGTTTTCCTATGAGCTTTGGTTTGCTTTTATACGGTAGCTCGCGGATGAGGTTCTTCGGCACTACCAGTGGAGCAAACTTTCCTTTCTTTTGTGTACGTTCTTGTTCAATGATGGATTTGTGGGTGTATGTCGAGTTGCGTTGGAGGGGAGTGGGGATGTTGAGTGTGCGGCGGAGTGTTCCGGTTAGACGCATGCCGAGCCAGGTGGATTTGGTTTGTTGGGGCAATTCGTCGGATGAGGCTTGGGAGATGGTAGGAGAGATGGTGGGAAGTAGGAGCGAAGTGACGGGAGCGTAGAATTTTCGTGGCTGGACTGTGTACCATGCCCGGAGGAAAATTATGTCTGTAAAATAAGATCAAAGGAGTCAGAATTTGATTAATGATATGACACGATCTTGAAACGAGTCAACCAAAAAAAGACAACTTACCGCTCATCAACACCTTATCCTCAAACGCAGCCCTAAATGCTCCATCTCCGCCTTTCCCTCCCATATTCCCCCCCGCCACAGCCTTCTTCACTACCCCCCTCACGCCACTAACCGTCCTCACCCCCGCACCCTCAAACCTCGCCACCTCCAATGCGCTACCAAACATCCCCTTGATGAAAGCAGTGTTCTTATACACTTTATACGGTGTCCCGGTGAGTTTCAGTTTTTTCACAATAGGAGAAGAGGTGCCGGGGGATAGAGAGAGTAAAGTCCCAGTAGCTGATACCCTGAACCCGTTCCCTCCTCCACCTGCAGATGTGGGACCATCAGAAACACTATTGAAAGCACATACACCGAGACCGGGAACCATACCCGGCCCCCAGAATGTAGCGAAACAGTGCATGTGATCTGGCGTGTATTTAATCATACGCATCCGGATGGAGTGATCATCGAGGGAATACACGGGGAGCGTTTGGAAGCGCCGCCAGCCAATACTGAGGATAAGAGGGTCGTTGGATTTTAGGGGACGAGGATGGAAGCGGTGGCGTTTGAGACGGAGACGGAGGAGGGTAAGGTCTGAGGATGAGGCGGGAGCAGTTTGAGAGGAGGATGTAGTGGAGGTGGATATAGGGAAAAACCCTTCCCCAGCACCCAACCCACCCAAAATTAACGGATATTCTGGATCAAAGAAATTAATCATCTCTCCAGGTACAGCGTCCAATACCACCCTAACATAAGTCCCTGGGACGTACCCTTCAAGCTGAGCACGCAATTCCGGATCTTGAATGGAAGAAAAGGCAATAGCGTTGAGAGATTGTTGCGTGGTGAGTTCGGCTTTTTTCTGGTCGTAGAATGTGGATGAGGGGTTTGAATTAGAAGGGTCGTCGTATTCTTCGTCGAAACGGGCTTTGAGGAGGGCTTTTTTGGTAGCAAGGGCGGAGCGGGAAGAGGAAGATATTGGTGGTGGGTTGGGGATTACTTTGGTAGTGGATGGAGCGGAGGCGGAAGTTAGGGAAGGGTCGCCGCCTGTAGCTTCGAAATCGACGAAATCCCCTCCAGATTCTTCATCGTCGTCGTCGTCTTCTGCTCCGTCTCTTCCATCTTCGCCGGTGGTCTCAGTAACAGCCGTAATAAACAACCTCCGAATACTCTCCAACATTTCTTCGTCCTCCCATTTGTTTAACTCGACAGGGGAAAGCTCAGGTTTAGACTTGTCCGCGAGGTCAGAGAGGATAGTCGACGAATCTAGTAGAGTATTTGCTGTGTCGTTCGAAGGTTTCTTGAAGAAAAATCCGTCGTCCTCGTTATCCATGTCGACGTCGACATTGCTCTTCTGCGCGTGCGCTGTAAGTGACGAAGACGAAGACGAGGAAGTTGACGAGGAAAAAGAATGCTGCGAAACGATCTCTTCGGGAGAGATATTAGTTGAATAGATATCTTTCGTCCAGTCTCTACGTGTTGGACGACGTAGAGAAAGAGCCTGGGAGTCGAGATGTTTGGTTTTGGGGTGCGCAGTGTCACTGTCGTCGGCGGAATCCTCGTCAACCATATCAAGGTCTTCGCCATTTTCACCTTCGACTTCGTCCTCCTCCTCCTCCTCTATATAATGTTCATCGTCGTCATAGTCGTTGACGATGAAGCCTTCCTCGGCATCTTCATCTTCATCACTATCACCCGAGTCAGAGTCGAAATTCAGACCCTTGCCAGCAGATTCAGCCTGAGGTAGAGACCGGGCAGGACGACGAGGCTGTGAACGACCAGTATTTCGAGGGTCGGATTGGACTTTGTTGAGTGTGTCGAGTTCGGCCTCGGAGCCTGAGCTTTCTCCCTCGTCGTCAACAGAAGCAAAGTCGTCGTCAACCTCGTCAGCAGAAGAAGGCTCGTCGTTGTCGTCGTCGTTGCCTCCAACAGCCAACGGCTTCTCCGAACTCCCAAACAACCGAATTTTCGTTTGCTTCACCGCATCATCCAGCGTCATTCCCGCTTCTTGCAAATCCATAACCATCTTTTCTCCTTCACCTTCCTCTCCCTCCTCACCTTCCCTCCTCGTGAAGCTCCCTTTCACATTAACATACACCGCGTCTTTATCGAAACTGACTCCACCAAGATCACTCATCGGGGCATGCACAACCAACTTCCTCTTCTCGCTCATCCTCCTCCGTTTTTCTTCGTCCCCGCCTTTTTCTATAATCGGTACGGGGTCGACCATTTTTTCAATACTCTCTACCAGCAGATCACCGACACCGGGTATATGCACTTTTTGGCCTTGACCACGCCAGTTGGTGCCTCGGACGTAGCCGTAGACGGATATACGTCTATCGCATTTGGAGTGGGAGGTTCGGATTAATTCAGGAGGTGTTAGGTCCTGGAGTCTGTCGACATATATATACGGATGTGTATTCCTGAACACTAGGGGTCTGAATTTCATAACCCCGATGAACCTGGATAGATTCAGGATTTCTGTATCAGGGTATCGACCGTTAAGCACACCCGAGAGATAGAAAAGCTTCGCCCCTGGGTGGATCTCGGTCCAGAAACGCTTCTTGAGGGATTTTTTGGTCAGACGGAGGGTAGAGGGGGAACGGATTAAGTCAAGGTGGGTGAGGATACCGATTACTTTTGGAAAGCCGTGTGTTTGTAGGATTGTCAGAAATTCGAATGTTTCCTGGTGGAGTGTTAACAATTAATGATGGAAAGAGAGAAAGACTTGCCATCTCGAATCCAAAACTTCCATCTATCATTAGCAACACCAAATCCGCCACTTTTCCAACATCAATCATGCTACACAGCGAGTTATTACACTCTATGAATGTTATCCGTCTTTTTTTCCCCGCCACAACTGTTACAGGACCTTTCAACCCTCCGGAAACACTACGTTTGGTGTACCGCCGAACGAGACTGCTGAGGAGCGTGGACTTGCCGACGCCGGGAGGACCGACGATGGCTACGATGATTGGCGGAGGGAGATCGTCTGGGGTTCGGTTCACGAGCGGAACGTGGAGCCGTGTTTGATCTTTTTCAGCGGCGCGTCGGCCTAGACGGTTAGCGTTATGACCAGAGGTAGGTGCAAATGCCTGGGTAGGAGTAGATTGTAGAATGTTTGAAAGAAAGTAGTCCAAATGCTTACCTTTTCGTTGAATCCATGCTTCTTCTCCTTTCCTTTGCCCTTTTCTTTCTTGTCAGCTTTACCCCCAGCCTGCGCAGGTCGATGCGCTTTATGTGGCTTGTCGTCCATCGTTTAGGCGTTCTCAAAGGTCAAACAATGGTCGATAATTATGGGATACGAATGTCGACGTTGTTCCAGGAATAACAATAGAAGCGTTGAAACAGATTCTACCTGATCTTTGACACTGTCCAGTATTTCACGTCCTCCCTGTCCCGTCGAATAGGAAGGAAGCGAAACGCGAAAAATTGAAGATGAGAGTCTTAGGAGAAAAATTTTAGCTATCGACCCGTGACTACCTCCCTTGAGAGAATATGTTGGTCTATATAGGTAACCTATGTCATTCCTTCTTAGTTCAGTTGGTAGAGCGCGTCACTAGTATTGTACATTCTTGTATGAATTAGTAATGACGAGGTCAGTCGTTCAAGTCGGCTAGAAGGAAATAAACAGCATAGGTTGGTCTGCGCATGCTGTATTTTTATATCGACGCCTGCCATAACATATTGTGTAAGTTAACCGCATTATTTGCTGAAAGCACAAGTACATATATATTCAGATCTATTTTGCTATTCGACTACACTCTTTAAGCCTTCACAAAGTCTTTTGAAGATGGAAAATTTCCCCTCCACCACTCGATCAACATAACCACCGGCCTTCAACTTTGCTATGTATCACATGGAAGGGCACCTTACAAAAATGTTTTGTTCGATTTTGTTGGGGGTAAGTTGGCCTTGTCCCACTTCTCTTCGCTGTTTTCGTGTTTGGTTGCATTTGATTAAGCGCAAGCAGAGGGCCTGCGCTCTGTGTCGTTGAGGAACTATTTATCCACAATTCAGGGGCATATATCGAGTGATAAACACATATCACTGGAGGAACCACCCAGCGCAGCGTGCAGAATGTAAATCTCAAGGTCGGAAACAGAGACGATCCGATCTCGAAATAACGCTAGTATCCGAATGGAATGGTTCACTCAAGCTCTAGAAGTTACGAAGGAGCTCTGAAAATTCGCTCGAATTGTTCGTCGCAGGCATATGATTGAGTGTGTTTTGGCTGTAAGTACTCACCCCTTCAGTCAATTGTGTTGTAATTTCCAGACCTCCATTAATGCGGGTCCAGTTGGATGCATCGACAGAGGTTTTATGGTTTAGACCTGTCCTATTGCAAATTCCTTGAATCTAGCAAGTTGGATGTGTTACGTGCTTTACCTGTTCTTGCTGGACGGTTCGTGTTCGCATTGAGAGAGGTTGAGAGTTGGGATTGAATAAAAACGGGAACCTCGTGATAGATGCTGCGCCGATATCCGAAATGAGGTTTTGATGAGCCGGTTCTTTTTCTTCTGCGTGATGAGTGTTGTTAGTTTGGACAGTTTTGCAGGAGTACGAGCCACTAGACTTGATATTCACTCCAGAGTCGACTTCCGAAAGGTAGGAAAGGAAAATTGATGATTTCCGGTACGGTTTTGATCTCTTCCCGCTCGTTATCAGGTCCCTTCTCTGGAAAACCTGCGGTAAAGTGCCATATTAACACTTGACCTGTCATATTCATACTGCTCATTGTCTGTTCACGGTAATATAGGCCAAATCGCGATCGTCGCGTTGTCTTCGGAAGGGAATTCAATAACTTCCTCTTCAACGTACTTCTACGCTGCTAAATCGGTCCTAATGTAGCCGCTGCCACTAGGTATAAATTCAAGTTATCTAGTCATGCGATCGTCTCACCTGTTTTACCTTACCCCCACAACGGGCCGTTCTGAGGATCCAATGAACATTTTGACCTACGTGCTTGGATCCAGTGATGCCAGTATAAATTGCATTCCCAACGAATAGATTTCTGGCAAGGTCAAGCTTCTTCCTTCCTTTCCGCGAAGTTTTTCCTCGATCAGCCTCTCTCTCTCTCTCTTGTACAACAATGGCTCGTTTTAGGGCACATTCTCTCAAAATCGGTGATCGTGTCACCAATGCTGCTCAATTGACGATGAGGTAGTAGGGTAGCCATCCTTGTAGTAATCGCCATTTATCTGATTCATCATCTAAAGGGAAACGATATTTCCTCTGTTCCTCGTCACCATTCTATACTTTCTCTGGGTTTGTATAATCTTTCCCTTGTGCTAAGCCAACTTACCAAAACCAATATTCTTTTTATTTTTCGTTTCAGGGCTTTGCCTATGGTCTACTCGACACCCTGAACAAGCATTTCCAAATCAATCTGGGCATCACTCGAACACGCTCCTCCGGGCTCCAAGCAGCGTACTTTGGTGCCTACCCCCTCGCTTCTCTAGGCTACGCCAACTGGGTTTTACGCCATTATGGCTACCGCGCTACCTTTATCCTTGGCCTTACTCTCTACGGTATTGGCGCATTTATGATGTGGCCCGCTGCCCTCAAAGAATCTTTCGGTGGATTCTGTGGAGCTACATTCATCATCGGTAGCGGCCTAGGCTCTCTCGAAACCGCTGCCAACCCCTACATGGCAGTCACTGGTCCTCCCAAGTACTCTGAGCTCCGTATCAACATCGCCCAAGCTGTCCAAGCCATCGGGACTGTTGTCGGCCCCGTGCTAGGCAGTTACGTATTTTTCAACGAGACCGGCGAATCTGTTGACGCATTGAAGACTGTTCAATGGGTGTACCTCGCCATCGGGTGTTTCGTTTTTTGCCTCGCAATAGTTTTCTACTTTAGCGTTATTCCGGAGGTAACGGATGCTGATATGGGCCAGCAGGCTGACTTGACACATGGAACAAACGGGGACGACGACAAGCCGTTCTGGAAACAGTATAGACTCTTTCATGCTAGCTGGGCACAGTTTGCGTATACGGGATCCCAGAGTGAGTTCATATATATATTCATGCCTTGAGGAAAAATCCGGGAGGCAGTCTGACGTCGAACCCTGGTTTGCAGTCGCCATTGCAGGATACTTTATCAATTACGTCACAGAGATTAGACCCAACACTTCTTCTGCGCTTGGAGCCAAGTTCCTCGCAATTGCTCAGGGCTGTTTCGCCGCTGGGCGGTTTTCTGGTAGTGGTAGGTATTGTTTTTGTCAGAGATATTGGCCAGTGCTGATTGTGTTCTCCTTTTTCATCTTTTGTCGCTTCTTGATCTTCTTCATGATATCAAATCAAACGCGTTCAACATATTGACGAACTTCATTTCGGAAAAATCACATCTTTCCTGCTCATCTCTATCATTGATACCCCCGGTGTCGACCTTCTGACTCCCGCGCTATACGTACTATCCATGGATTCACACACTTCTTCCTCACTCAAAAAGGTATAATGAGATTTATTCGACCTCGATGGGTCTTCCTCTGCTACCTCTCCTGTGTCATCATCTTCTGCGCCGCATCGATTACACAGCGGGGAAACATCGGCCTTGCCATGCTCACGCTGACACTGTTCTTCGAAAGCGTATGTTTCCCGACAATTGTTGCGTTAGGTATCAGAGGATTGGGGAGACATACAAAGGTACGTATGGATAGTTATTTCCGTGTTATCGAGGGTTGAAATACTGGCTTAACGTTTAGAGAGGCGCTGGTGTGATCGTTGGAGGCGTCGTCGGCGGAGCTTGCAGTACGTGTTTGCTATAAAAACCATCCCTTCCTTCCACTTTCGAGTTAATCAACCGCCTTGCTCCTCCTAGTCCCTCCAATCCTTGCCGCTGTCGCCGACCGTCGCAACAGCACCGCGTTCGCCATGATCGTCCCCGTCATGTTCTTTATCTCCGCTGAGACCTATGCCCTTGCTGTGAACTTTGTTCCCAGCTATAGGGATCGGGCGGATAAAATTGGACAGGGCGTCATTGCTGACGGTGCCGCATCCAGAAACGATGTCGAAAAAGCTGCGGGAGAGGTGTCTGAAGAAGGGAGTGTGGACGACAAGGCGGTTGTTTACGAGATAGATAATGCTTGAGGGAGATGAACGATACTGAACGATGAGTTGCCACACGAATGTTGACGAATAACGTTGTGTATGTGTGCTCATGACTGTATTTCTATTGAACCGGCCGTCCAAAGGTTTTCACAGAATGATGATATTTTCATTGAATCAAAGCATAAAAGCGGGCAGGTTATCATTCAATGTACTTTCTACCTGAATGAAATCCGTTCCATAAGCCTTCCAAAACTTTTGCAAGACCATCTTCCTGTCAGGCGAGGAAATCGCAGAATAAATCATCGGTAATTTAGGAGGCAATGCCGCTTCTACATCGGAAGGGTTCGAGGTGTGAGCTTCTGACTGATTATCTGAAGAGTCACGAGTAGTCGACGATTTTGTTGATTTCGGGCTTGTAGACGTATCATCTGGAACGCGCGACTGATATGTTGCTGGCGTTGTAACATTGATCTTGAAACTCGAACTATTCGCGAAATCGTGACGTGCATCTAGAGCTCTGGGAAAGCTGAACGTAGCCCTTGTCTCAGTCGCAGTAGCTCGCTCCTCAGGCTTCAAGAAGTCTCCTGAAAATGACTCTCGAAGCCGACTGGGATTTCGAACAATACTCGAATCACCACCAGCATATGAAGCCCTTTGCGGTCCACCCATTATAGGCTCAGCAGTGATCTGATCTCCTTCCTTTCTCCCATCTCCGCTCGAAGTATTGCTACTAGTATGAGACGAGCGCCGCGAACTGGATTCACGTAATAATCCGTTTTCTAGGTCTCTCAATTGCTTGAGGATTGCCTCGGCCTCTTCTAAATCACCTGCTTGCTTCCAGACCCGCAGGACATATTCGGGAGGAAATTTATACTTATCAAACAGAATTTCGACCATCATATCGACGAGGCGTGATTGGTCGATCATGGAAAGCCAAGACAGTGAAAGGGAGGAGAATGATTGTTGAACCTTGGTTAGAGATTTAGCTGGAGTTGGAGAAAGATTCGGTTCGGAGGTGTTGCGGACTGGTTCGGCAGCAGAAATCAAATCGGTGCTAAGCAAGAGGTTGGATCGCGATATATTAGACATCGTGGCTGCAGCTTACCTATTCGACGTCGATGTATTAGATGGGCTCAGCGACATCCTTCCCATTGCTATATCTCCGTCTTGCTCGTGGTCCCGGTCCACTTCCTTTTTCGAATGGTCTGACGCAGAACGGTGATGATGGAAAGGGATATCGTTCATCTTGTTCGACTCTGAAGAAGACTCGGACGATAAGGTCCGTTGCTGTACAAGTTGTGGACTGGGTTTGCGGGATCTGTCTAAAAGTACGTGCTTCTCTGTAGGAAGTCGACTAGAACCTTCACCTAGTCGGACACGTCGGGCCATGTCTTGCGCTTCAAAACCTTCCTGGAGATCGCGGCCATTGGTAGGTACGGTGTGCTCCGAGGCATCAATTCGGCGTCGCTTCACCTGGACGTTGATCTCACGTTCAGGAGTTTCTTTGCGTTTTTGGCGTTGGGGCCTATGAGCCGCAGATTGATCGAGGTGTTCCTGAGCCTGTGGTAAATCCC